TTAAAGAAACTTTGCTTATCCAAGAACTTAAGCCGGCTCTTAATGTAAACGTCAGCAGTGAGAAGCTGATACTTTATTAATAAGCTTAGGCTTTTATTGGTTTACTGTTAAGAAACAGATGTTTCTTAATCTCGTTTCCAGACCCCTTATTGACATTTCATATATAGTTTTCAAAAATTGTAACGGTCTTTATTCCACTTTTGAAAATGTATGTTGCGTAGCATACGAAACGTCAAGTTATTAAAATGCGTAAGTTTAATATGTTTATCACCGCTATTTGTGTTTTATTTCTCCATTAGATTGCTTACGGAATCCGGGTAAAAAAAATATTATCGTGGACATTATCGTGTCGTTCCGGTCTCGTTTCGGTAAGACAGCGAGGAGAGCGACGACTGACTGCCGATCATACTGCGGCGCAGCCGCCGTGTGACCCCAGAGTCTCAGCATTGACCATGGAATTGACCGTGGCGCCGTGGGCTCTAGACTGTTTCTGAAGGATCATGGGTCATCTACAAGAAAAAATGGCGGCAATATCGATATAAGGTCTGCGGTAAATAAGCTTATATTTTCGCTAAAGAAATTCAAAACATGTGAAGACAACTCAGCCAGGACGAAAGTGTGGGGTTAAAAAGTAGGAGCATGACAGGAAACTTAACACTTGCATCATCAGGGGGCGACATAAAGATTTGGGAAGTTCCAGAAGTAAACCTGGTGAAGTCGTTTAGTCCACACTCCCAGCCTGTTGGTTCGTTGTGTTGGAGTCCCAACAGTATCCTTTAACTACTTGCCATAAATTGCGGCTAGTACTGGACCTCTAGACATTGCTAAAACTAAAACCTTACAACCGCACAACAATTCTTGGCAATAACGTACAGTGGAACCCTGTTCTGCTAGTGTAAGCTAAAGCTTTAGCTTATTAATAAGCTTAACAAATTTAAAGTTCCAAGGGATTGTTGTAACAATGTCGTGGGGAACAACCAAAATCTTCGTTATTTTAAATTTTTGATTAAACTTTGTCGCGTTGCACTGCTCATCGTTAGGAATAATTGTGCAGTCGTTATGGGATTAAAAGATTTCCAGAAAATAACATGTATGTTGATTTGTTTCGCTTGCATTCGTGTGATGATATTTGTTCTTTATATTGGAATAGATTTTAATCTTTTGGGTTGTTTTTGCTGCAACAGGGTTTTGCCATACTGGGTGCCTTTATGTTGTCAGGTTCGGTGCCACAAATTTCTTCAGTTGTGACTTTGGCCAGGCTAGACTATGTAATTTGTTATAATAAGTATTAGTGCAATGACCCCATATTTTTCACAATGCAATACATTCCTTAGTACAGTTCTCAAGAGAGAATACTTAATTTAATATAGGTAGTAAACCCAGTGATAATGTTAGCAAAAATGTCCAAAGATTTTAAAGTTCATGGTCCTTTTCATATTTGGAAAATGTGTTCGTTGGCTACTCGATAAAATTATCTAATTTAGTTAAGGATTAGTTAATAAATTTCAATGAGACATAAAAAGTGGAACAATTTTTTGGTGGTGGATATGGAATATTTTTCTTATTGTTAGACCAAAGCTAGTTGTGACTGAGTGCAAGTAAAGAACAGCCTTTGTTAGTATCTTTTTGCTTATGTTCAAGTACGCTTTAAACATTCAAGGCTCAGCAACTTTGTGGTTTACCAGGGCTTGACTTTCACGAAAAAAACCTTGGGGCCAATAGGCTGCTAAGTTATCAAATTTAGTCGCCAGCAAAAGTCTTTCAGTGAAAAGTGTGGAAAGTTACCGGTAGGGGTAACTTTCCACACTTTTCACTGAAAGACTTTTGCTGGCGACTAAATTTGATAACTTAGGGGCCAGTTGGCCCCAAGGTTTTTGTTGCAACCCCTGGAGTCACCAATATTACCAAAAAATGTGGTAGCATTGGTGACCCCAGGGGTTGCAACACTGAGCTCTGTTTACATGTTGGACTCTATATCTAATGGCCTAGGTTCAGTAATGAACTTCAGCAGCCTTTTCCCATCTACTAAATATTTATTTATTTGCTTATTTATTTATTTTTTTTGGTATTTATTATTTCTTCACCCTATAAGAAAAAAAAAAGATAAAAGAGATATGAAGTACAATGTAAAGAATACATTATTATCAGTTGAAAGGCTGGTGGAAAAAGTGCGTTAAGTAATTTTGGTCAAAAGTGAACTTTGTCGAAAAAAATTTCAAATTTTGCATGTGGTTTTGTTTAGGTGTGTTAAACAATCTCCTGTATTTTTTTGCTGATGTTTGCTTTGTTTTTGAGATATTTTTCCTGGCGGCATCTTTAGAAGGTTAGACTTATTAACTGTGTCTTGCATCGACTGCCATGTTTTCGCGTGCGTGAAGTGAAGAGACCCTTCCCAGCATGCATTGCGATCATGTTCTATGGACATTTCATGGCCTAGTAGAAGACAACAAAACTAATTTGTTAACTTGATTGAGAAAGGGAGTCTCACAGATAATGGCAAACAAGTATTGATTGTAACATAGATTTTACTTCAGATCAGCATGATTTGTAGTGTTTTGAACTTCTGGTATCAGGGGACAGAACACCAGCCTCAAGAGCTTTGTAAAGTCAGCATTCTGCTGTTCCTTAAGTCGAATATGCATTTTTGTGGTCACACATTCTTGTGAAATTAACATTTCACAGTTTTCTTTGGTGAAAAAATGATCTGCAGTGGTATGTTGATGTTAAATGAACATTATTTTTGCTGTTTTGAATTGAAATCAACATCAGTATTCTTTGAAGTCACATGTTTAGGTCAAATCAATATTTTAACTGTTTTTGACATGAAATTTACATTTTTGAGCTAGGTGTGGACCTGAAATCAACATTTTATTGCTTTTAAAGGAGAAGGTCACTCCAAAAAACGTATATTTTTTGTCAACCCTTATGAAAACCTCTTACTAAGTTTAGCCACTCGCCGAAGTTTTAGCCTCTAAAGTGCAGGTTTTCCTTATGAAGTTCGTCTCCAAAGAAGCCCAAATTTTTACATCTTTGCCGTCATTTTGAACAGTACTCAGCAGCCAGGCTGTGTTTTCTGATGTCATTCTGTCCAAGTGATTTTGTCGAAATGGCTTCCAGCAAGCCTTTTAACTACCACTCTGGGTTATGGCTGCTCTTGAGTCGTGTTATTTTGAGCCAAACGTGCTCCAAACCCGAAAATGGTAGCTGTGAAGGTAGTTAAGTGGATAATCGCTTTGAAAAATACATTTCGCTGACCTTGTGAAGGATGCAAAGTCAGTTGCAGGTCTTTCTCCTTGCTACCAATTTCGAGTCGGACAGAATGATGTCACATAAACATGGCCTGGCTGCCAAGTACAGTCTAAAATGGCGGCCTCCAAAGTCACTTTGTTAGAGATGAATTTCTTCAGGAGAGCAGGCACTTCAGAGGCTGAAACTTTGGTGAGTGGAAAAGCAGAGTGTTTACTTGCTATAGGCAAAGACAAAAAAGTAAGCTTTTGGGAGTGACCTTCTCCTTTAAGTGAAATCAACATTTTTAAGCTTATGCATTGACGTGAAATCAACATTTTGTTGTCTTTTACATGTAAGTGTCTTTTACATGTAAGGGTCGAAAATGAAGTAAACTTCAGTGAAAAATACTACATCACATTGTTTAACACACCTAGTAAACAAAACAAAATTTGGAGTGTTTTTGACAAAGTTAACTTTTGACCACAAATACCTGACACTCCCCCCCCCCCCCTGGGCCTTTCAATTATTATTGTTTGCTATGTATTATTAAAACTAATATTTAAAGGAGTGGCATACCGAAATAAAGTGATACCTTAAAATAACTGAAATTAAAATGATAACTAACAGAGTTCAGAGGATCATGAAGTTAAGATGGTAGGCTGACAGTAGTTTCCAGCTCTTTCCATTACTTATACTTCAATAGATCAATACTACCATTTTTTATCAAATGAGTCACAATATTGGTATCACAAAAAATGGCCAATGATTGATGAACAAACTGTTGTCATCTTCGTAACGTAATGGGCTACCATACCATACACCCTTGATTTTAGCTTCAAGTGCTTGTAATTCAAAAACATGCATGGTAACCACCATTTTTTAATGTGGAGTTGTCATTAGTATGAAAGGACACAGCTTTTTGCAGTGTGTAAACAAAATCCAATAAGGCAGTTCAAAGCCATTGAAAATTTTTGAAGATTTAAGGTGGCTCTGAACAAGATTTTATAAAAACTTTTCAAAAGTTTTATCATTCTAGTTACAATAATCAACAGTGACAAATGGTGGTCACCAAGCTTATTTTAAGTTATAAATACTTGAAACTAAAATTTCCAATCATCAGCATTTGTCTGACACCAACATTGTAGCATCATTTGATAAAGAGTGGTGATATTGATCCATGAAATAAGTATTGGAAAGTGCTGGAAGCTGTTGCCAGCCACCTTAAATCAGTGGAAGATTGTGTCAAACAAGACTACATACATGGCTGTATTCTTTTTCTTCCTGAAGACTTTTCTGAGGTCTATGTGATTTTAGAGGTCTTACACTTAAAGCATTAAACTAATAAGAGATTATCTTATTTTACTTGACATTGGAAGTACATGTATTTTAAGATAATTTTTTTGTTGGTATATGTAGTACTGGTAAGTGAAATACTGTTATGTATTGTACTTTGTTGTGACTGTGTGAGACCTTAATGTGATCAGATCAATGTTTAGCCAGTGCTGCCAATGACAAAGTGGTTGTCACTTATATCAAAGGAGATGTATATGATGAAATTGATATTACTGCTGGGGTAAGTTTATGGTATGTATTTACTTATATATAGATTTAGCCAAGCCTATATGCCAAGCTTCTGGGCCAGCTTGCTCAAAGTCTAATTAAGATAACCCAGGGTAAGCAAAAATTTTGATGCAAGTTTTTTAATGTTGAGGTTTTCTGTTTATATTGTTTAGCCTTCTGAGTTTGAATAATCGCAGACTACACAAAACTTTAGCAGTGAAAAAACATTTTTATCCAAGAAAAATTTATACTTTGTTTAACTTTAAATGCTGGCTTCTGAACAACCCGGTCCTGATTACAACAAGCTAACCTGGCGTGAGCCTGAGATTCAATTGAAAACCAGAACTTGATCAGCGGTCAATCTCAATGAGTTCTAAACTTGAGCCCATGATATGGTCACCTGATACTGGTGAGGGCCCTATGGGCTTGTGCAATTTTCTGTTGTCTTTGAAAGATTTACTTGTGCTTATTTATTCCAAATTGCACTTGGAATCATTTGATTACCTATACTAATTTTCCATGTGATAATTTGTTCATTTACTTTAGAGTCATCATTTTCTTCTAGTCACATTAGTACACCTCTATTCTGTCCTACTATGTGACCACACTTTTCATCTTGGGGCAGTTGCCAGAGTCCCAGTATTTTGAAACCAAACCTGTGTTAAATGCAAGCTGCTAGTAACAGGTTTGATCTTATTATTTTTTTGTACTTTTCAGGAGGGAAATACCTGTGTTTCATTCAATTCCTCCTCTCGTTATTTATTAACTGGTGGAAAAAGCAAGACTCTCAATATCTGGGACATGAAAACCAGGAGCATCAAGAAGACATACAAGGTTGGGCTTTTCAACCAGAAAATAACTTAAGGACGGTGCCTACTTTTGTTAGTGCGCACACGTTCTGCACATCACGCAAGGCACGGTTTAAGCGCCACGCGTGCGCTGGGGTTGACATTGACGCAATAAACTACGCTACTAAATGCACAACTAAAATGAAAGCAGCATTTTCCTACTGTGACCAAATCAAGTTTCATGAACCTGTACTTAAACCAGGAACACCAGAATACATGTAGCAGCATATCACTTACCACTAAATTAAAATGGTAATGTCTTCCAGCTGAAAACCTATCTGTTATGTGTTGAAAATTATACTGAAATCCAACTGTGAACATATACCTGCAGATGACATAGTACGCATGCAAAACAAGTGTGAGATATGCAAATGTTTTACCTTCCAGGGAGGTGACAGGAAAAAATGTAATGGGTATCATAAAAGTTTTCAAAAAAGGTCAATAACTTTAAAAGAACATGTGTTTACCCGTACATTTTTGTTATGAAATGGAAGTGGGAAGCCTATTAAATAAGTGACCAGTTTCTGGTGGTGAGTAAAAGGTATTAAGACTGTATTTTAGCTGAACCAGAGGAAGGCTGTCAGAGACGCTAAAAGCGTTACATTGCAACGACTTTGTTATTCAAAACATACCAAAAATGGTTTTTACGGTACCATTTACCATGCAGTTTTAAGATCTTTATAAATATGTTTGCTTTTCTATATGTAAAGGCGAATTCTAAGCTGGTAATCTGTGAAGAAATATCCTTTCCTTTTTTTTTTTCAGAAAAATGCTGATGTCAGCATTTTTGTTGAGATTTAAGGCTAATAATTATCTTGATAAATGCATGGCTACCCCAGTTTTTCTTTGTAGATTCCAGTAGCCCTTGCAAAGATGTACTTTTCTGCAAGGTCCTAATCTGGTGCAAAAACCTTTGTATTTAGTATGCACCATCCTTAAAGGTCAAATGAGCCAAAATTTAGACATCTTTTCTTCAGCCATTTTATAGCAACGAAATGTTAAAAAAATGTTAAAGGAAACTTATGCAGAAATTTTTCTTTCTGAGCTGTGAAAAGGAGTAAAAACGTTAAAAGTACAAAGACAGTCAATTGCTTCATGAAAACGTTTCCAAAATGACCACGCACTTTAATGGAAGGAATGGAACTGAGATTCTGCTTTGTGATGTCATTGTTGTCTTCAACATTGCTGCGTTTCTGTGTCAGTGAGTCTTTCGTGGGGAAGGGTTAGGATCTAAATACAAACCTTATCTTACTTGGGAAATGGTCGAGGAGTTCGCCCGCTGTTTGGCGGGCAATATTCGCTAATTTTTCATTGTTTTTTGTCCAATTGCTGGCTTGCAACGTTCCATAGTGAAGTTAAAAATCATCAGTGCCACATCTTTCTTGACTACAAGTTGAGGAAGCTTAAAAGAGGGTCCCAACAAACTCTTTACTACAACATTTTGTCGAAAGTTGTCTTTGGTAAAGTGTTTTACACAAATGCGCAAATGCTTCTGAGGCATGAAGCATTCTCTTTACTTTTTTATAAGCCATTCGCTTTAAAGTTTTGGGTCCTGGAGGAACTTGAAAGTGCTAACTTTTGATTTTGAGTGGTTTTTCTCTGAAGTTCACTGTGAACTTGAAACCAAAACAGTTTCAAATTTCCCACATTTCTTGAGCTCACCAACAGTGACGTCACAAGTTTTATTTCCAACAATTATCCGACAATTATCCCGACCGCTCTACAGTTATGAAGGATAAAAAACAGTGATTTTAACATTCCAATATCTCCTCAATGCTTCGTCCAATTTGTTTGAAACTTCAGAATATGTTTATTTTACACTTAATGAACCCATTGAACTCAAATGAAAAAAATTCTAAATTTTGCTTCATTTGACCTTTAACACATAACGTTTGATTCATTGTTGCACATGTGTTAATATTACCCACTATTTTATTTCGCAATTTATAATTTGTTATGGACTGCGTAACTGTGAAACTTGTCTGGATGAATTGCCTCTGCTAAGGGTGAGCTATTTTAATAGGTTATTTGTTTCCCACCTTGCCAAAAGTCTTGGAATATGTCTGTTCAAAAAAAGACCAAGAGAAAGATCCCAAACTGGATCAATGTTAACCATTTTGAAACACATAATTGCTCCTCAACTTTGGGCTTTGATCAAGTCTGTGCAGTTGATTAGTCATTCATGGTAATGCAGTGCAGTTCATGAGAAAGCAATTGCACATTTTAATGTGACTGCTCATTGGATTGTTTGAAGGCAAAATAACTTAATGAATGAAATTAATGACCTGACAAATACCTTTGATCTACATGTAATAGACATGTTGAGAAAACAGCATCCTTGCACTCCTGGATTCACCTGGAGCAGTCATAAGGCGTCCTTGAAAATTCATTGCAGACTAGACTATTTTGGTTTGTCTTGAAATATGCAACACATATCTGAGTGCTGACTGTCAGATGGTCCCCAGTATCTTTTCTGATCATTTGGCACAACAGTTGTGTATAAACAATCCAACACAAATTGGACCAAAATGCAGAATGTTCAGCCGCATTATTGGGCAGCTGTATAAAGTCCAAGTAATTTTGTTAGTGATACAAAAAAGAGAAGAGTTAAGGAAATTTACCACCTTTATCAGGCATCACCATTCAGTGGTTGTGCCCTCTGTTTAGTTATTTATTTTTTTGCATGATAGTGCACATGGTTTGAGTGAGTTGTATTTTGTTTGTGATAGGATCACAAGGATATTGTGTCTTGCTTGACATTTAACTGGAATGACACAGCTATTGCTTCAGGATCAGTCAATGGAGATATTTTACTTCATAATGTCATGACAGGTCAAGCCTCTGATCCTCTCAGACTTTCAAAAACTCAGGTATTCATCACGATGAGATGAAAACACAATTTATATATGAAACATTCAAGTAGGTATACATGTAGTAGTACTTAATATGTAGATTGCTAGAATTATAAACAACCCATGGTTACATCATCTGATCGTAAGAAAAGACGAAATAAAAAACTAACCATTTCCTGAAGCTACAGTGTAGTTGTAAGCACAATGATATTAAATGTTGCAACACAAGTTGCCGATGCATAAGGAAAACAGACTATAATGAATTCAAGGACACAGATCGTTGTCTATACAATGAAAATAGGAGATCTGGGCACATGGGCAGGATCACATCCACTTTCATAATATGTTAGAGGGGATAATTCTTAAAATAATCGTAACCAAAAAGTAGATGTTGTACATTTAGGCTCATGTGGTCAGTTGGAACATTGTAAATATAGCCTGTTGCACAACAAAGTTGTCAACTGAGAGTGGACCATAACTGGAAGTCTTGAATTAACATCTTGTAATTGATGTTCACTCATGACATAATTACTGAGTTAGCAGTGTGCTTAAAGTTAAGGTCATTTATGTGTAACCAATCAGAAAGCTGGTTTTGAAACACAAGTTCAAAACAGACCAATTAGAATGCTGTTTGTCCTAAACCACCACATTACCATGGAAACTCAAGTAACTTTTAATGATAAAATGTTTAGACTGTTTTGAAATGTTTTTACAAGATACTCTTCTGTGAGCTTTCTGTGAGTAGAGGAGAAATCTATCACAAAGTTTCCATATTATCATTCTTCGATTTCTTCTAATGCTTGGTTGTATTAAGCCTGAGATCTTCTTTGTCTTCAAACTCCTTGAGATTGTCCATGATCTTGTTTACCTTTTTGGTCATGCCTTTTATTTGCCCCACAATTTCTTGAATACAGGGCTCCCTGTGGTGGCTCTTAAATGATAAGTAAATTTACCAGGGTGAGGTCAATTTAAGGTCAAAATTTGTTTCTCTCTGGTTTGCATTAATTGATGCCACTCTTTGACATATTTCCTCTCCTAGTAGTAGGCAGGATGTTCGTCACGTGAAACTAGTTTGAGACCTAAACACCTGCAGGTCTCCTGCAGCTTAGCGATGACCATTGTCGGTGTTGGCTTGTGTCCGAGCATCAATTTCTTCTAACAGTACAGTCTCCTCTGGGCAAGGGGCTGCAAGGCGGAGTTTTGTTCTTCACATTTCCCTTTGGCTTTGCGCCTCCATTCTGCTTCAAACATGGCAGTCCCAGTAGAAATGGACTGTTGCCAGCCAGATCGGTTTGCTGCTGTTGTCTCCCATGTCCTCGGATCAATTCCAGTTTTCTTGAAAGTAGCTTTGAGCTGATCTTTGTAGTAGAGGAGAGGGCGTCCTCTTGGACGTAGGCCGGTGGTCAGCTTGCTGCAGAGAAGTTGACGTGGCAAGCAAACATGGCCAGACAAGCGGAGGCGATGTATCACCATCATGGACTCAATACTAACAGCTTTGGCTTGCTCCAGGACGGAGATGTTTGTGATGTAGTCGTCCCATTTGATGTTGAGGATGGAGCATAACTTTCGTTGGGGGAATTGCTTGAGCTTCTTCAGGTCCTTCTGCTACAGTGTCCAAGCCTCACAGCCGTAGAGCAGAGTGGAAATGACAACCGCTTGGTAGACCATGAGTTTGGTGGTTTGGCTGAGGTCTTTGCTCTTGAAGACTCTTTTATAAAGTTTGCCAAATGGCAGTGTGTGTAGCTCTGATTTGGTGGTCAACATTTTTCTCGGCGGTGCAGTTAGATGACAGATGTATGCAGAATACTTCTGAGGTATGGGAAGTGGTCAACCTGCTCGAGGTGGGTTTCACCAATGGAGATGTTGAAAACTGGAAGAGTGTTTTTGGAGCAGTTTTGGTGAGCACCTTGGTCTTTTTAACGTTCATGGTGAGGCCAAAATGACTGTTTACAAGCATTGCTAAAGTTGTTGACAGTTTGTTGTAGGTCATCAGTAGAATGGCAGGGAGCAGCATTGTCATCTGTGTATTGGGGCTCAGTGATGGATCTGGTGCAGGTATGTCTAGCTGATCGGAGTTTTGAGGTGTTGAAGATGGCTCTGTCTAGACGAAACTGGATGTTGATGCCAGGGTTGTCAGGCGGAATATCATGGAGCATAGTGGCTAGGTACAGGGAGAAGAGTGTAGGGATGAGGACACAGCCCTGCCTCAATCCCAATGTAATGGGGAACTGTTCAGTCAGCCTGTTGTTATGGAACACATGTTCAAACATGCCTTCATGCAGAGCGTGGACCAGGCCTATGAAGTGTTCAAGGTCTTCAGAGGACCATCCACATGGCTGTTCTTGGGACTTTGTCTTGTATTTCTTGTATTTGTCTGGCACAGAAGATCATGTTGATGGTGCTGCGGGCTTGTCAGAAGCCATACTGGGACTGAGGGAGGGTTTCCTCTGCGACAACTTGCAGCCTGTTAAGACATGCCATTCAGACATGCCGTTCAGACATGCCGTTCAGACATGCCTTCATGCAGAGTGTGGACCAGGCCTATGAAGTGTTCGAAGTGTTCAGAGGACCATCCACATGGCTGTTCTTGGGACTTTGTCTTGTATTTCTTGTATTTGTCTGGCACAGAAGATCATGTTGATGGTGCTGTGGGCTTGTCAGAAGCCATACTGGGACTGAAGGAGGGTTTCCTCTGCGACAACTTGCAGCCTGTTCAAAAGGATCTAGGCAATTGAGAGAAGAGGAATGCCACGATACTTTCCTCAGGCTTTTTGATCACCTTTCTTGAAGATGTTGAATGATAACAATGGCGTCTTTGAGGTCTTTTGGAACTTGTTCACTTTCCCACATTCTCAGGATGAGACTGAACAGGCGGCTCTTCAGCGGAAGGCCACCATGCTGAATCAGTCCTTATGGGATGTTGTCAAGACCAGGGAACTTTCCTGGGGGTATTCTGTTCATTACTTTCTCAAACTCCACAAGAGATGGTGGTTGCCTCATCCAGGGTTGGAGCGGAAGACTAGTAACCAGAAGTTCTTAGCTTCAACTCCTAGCTGGAGAAGTCTTTTAGTTAGTTCTTTTTCTTAATTCAGTCAGCTTCGGTAAATGTGTGAAGCACTTCTCCCAACCAAGCTCAGTAGTGAAGTCATTCATCAACCATTCAAAGGTGGGATGGGGTGCCTCTAAAAAATCAATAGTTGTAGGGAGCAACCAAAAAATGGAATTACTTCTTGCAATAGAAGAATGCAAGCTGAGTTTTGTACTCTAAATTTATATTTTTTCATAACAGGCTGTGCGAGACATTCAGTTTTCCCACTTCAAAAAGAGTTTGCTTGGTGCTGTAAGTGATGATGGAGCCCTCAATTTGTGGGATTCTAACACAAAAAAGCTTTCAACTTCATTTGCCTCTGATCACAAAGGACCAGCAACTGGACTGAGTTTCTCACCCATGAATGACATGCTATTGTGCAGTGTGGGGCTGGACAAAAGAATTGTGTTCTATGATGTTCAGCAGAAAAAGTAGGTACAAATATCCATCCCAGCTTGCATTGCACATACCATACCATGAATTATAGGATGGATAAAAGATTGCAGCAGTCAAGTGATACAAAAGGCATTTCAACTTTCATTCATAACCATTCATAAACAAAAAAAGTTAGCTCTGTCCACTTGAATTACTAGACGCAAGTACATCAAGGTGCAATCAATATATTTTAGGTTTTCAAATAGAGAAACAACAGGAGGTTTCAATGAACATCATTCTACTTAACAATTAGACCCGTAGCCCACAAGGGCTTTCAGTCAATAGCATATGAGGTGAAGCCGAATGGGCTACAGACCCGTGGCCCTTAAGGGCGAAGGGTCTAATTGTTTTAGTATTACCCAACTAGTTGGACAGAAAAGGCAATGATAAAGTTAGCAAATGCAAGTTGAAGAAATATTTATTTGGGAATAAAACAAAAGAAAGTGTCACGCTAGATTGTGCCAATTTTGCTACTTGAGGACTATTACTAATAGTCCTCTAGTAGCGTAGCCAATTAAAATACAGGATTTACATTAGTCCACTGGTTGGGTGATACTAATATCTGTTATCACTTGTATGTAGTCAATATTGAGCTGTTACACATTTTTCTTGTGTACATGTATTTTACCGGTAAGTATATAATATGGTATATATGTGGTTTGAATTTTCCCTGGTGTGGTGAGAGGCTATCATTTGTATATCACATGTATGTTTATTGATATGTGAGGCTTGTATCGATTGTACTCCAAACCACCCACTGAGTCTCTGAGTTTTGTTGCTACAATGGCCAGCAGATAGGACCTGTAGGTGAAAATGTTTTTTCCTTCATGTTCAGTTTTTATTGAGCTCTTTCATCCATCTGTCTTTGCATTTGTGCATCCATCTCTTTGTCTGTCACCTGTCTGTTCATCCATCCTTCAAGTTAAATGAGATGAATGCATGTTTCATAACAATTTTGGAGTAGCAAGCCACAATTGCAAAAACTTTTATGAAAGACTCCACCTCTCTCATAAATTAATTGGCTCATCATGTTCAGTAAATCCTGCCCAGACTAATGACAATTAAAATGATTATTTTCTGTGGAATTCCAAAATAAGTTCAAAATACAGTCTGAGTGTCAAAACATAAGGTGTTTGTACACTGTGACATGCACTGTATGGGTTTGTGGCTTAATTGTTACCAGACAAGTAAGAATTTTATGACATGATTAGGTTATTGTATTGAATTCTTTCTTTGTTTTTGTCAAGGTCAGTGAAAGTTATGACAGCAGAATCTCCTTTGACTTCTGTTGATTTTATGTCTGATGGAGGAACTCTTGCCGTGGGTTCAACTAGAGGTTTGTTGACAAAAATGACCACTTAGATGTTGATTACTTGAAGTCTAAGCAACCAATAGATCACATCATTAATAATGTTTGTGACGTCACAGGTCTTTTTAAGTGCCATGTGCATCACCTTTACTGCTCATGTCTTTAAGATCACTTCCCACCTTTGTGGGTGCTGGTCAGAAAAAAATTCATATGTGCACCAGTTTCAATAAAACTCTAACAAAGTATGGATATCAGAAGAAAGCTTACTGGTAATAAATGTACTTTATTATAAAAACACCATTTCAGTGAGTTTTTCTTTTAGGAAGTGTCAGGAGCTGGTAAGGTGTGAAACGACCAAGGGTTCTTCTGTTGAATTTATCGTGTATCGGATGTGGCAGCACAAGTAAAATGGCTGCACAGTCTTATTCAAAAGGCATCAATCAACAAAAGTGTGTCAGGCTTTGTCAATGTTCTGAGTAGGTTTCTAGATATCCACATCCAAAGTTGGAGTAGCTAAAAATATGCAAGATGTGATGGGTAAATGGACACCATGGGAAAAATATGTTAAATATCAAAATTTCCTGACACCCTTTTGTTTGTCATTATCCCTGGAATGTTCTGGCAAAATTTCATGACAATCCATCAAATCTGCATACTCTATAAATTTGCTCAAAGTGGATGTATTCCTCCTGAAATCAAATGCAAGATTTTAGCTCGTAAAGGTTTGTAAGCAACTCGCATCACACCAGGAAATTATCTTGCCTTATGAAACCGCAAACCAATGGAACAACAGGACCTCCTAGCGTCAATGACAATCAGGATCAGGATTTCTCAGGAAAAGCACTGCATTGCAACACATTTTCTATCTTGCTGTCGTGTTGAAGAGAAAGACACTAGACAGGAAAAGTAGCCAAAGACAAAAGAATAACCCGCAGTAAGACAAGTAAAGCCAGCAAATGTACTGATAAGTACGACAACGAATCAAAGCACAGACAGCTCAGGCAGACTGCTTAAAGAGTCTTTGTAGCTTTCAAAAAGGTGTTTTGTTTTCTTCCTTACACAGAAATGTGTTGTTTCTTTTTTTCTTTGGGCTTGTTTGTTTCTTTTCCTTGGTCCAAGGGCACTTTTCTCTTTTCTTTTCCCAACTCTAATTTCACCAACTTCGGTGAATGTTTAGTTTATTAGTGGAAAGTTCCAAGGGGATTAATGCATAAACAATTCCAAGCTGACACAGGGAGCAGAGGAGTCCTATCTAACCTAATATTCCAATTTAAAGTCACCATACAACTGTAGCACAAATTGATCTGTGGTTGATTCAAATCACTGGACATGATCAAACTGTATACATCCGATTGCGTTATGCATCTGGCGAAATCCTGTTCAAAAGATGAAAGCTGCATACAGCATGATTGTGGGCTATCACTCATGGTAGCTAACAGTAATGAAAAAGATAAGGGATGAAAGTGATTTTGGTCAAATTTTGAATCGCCCATAAAGTGCTCAAATTTGACTAAAAATGTCTCATTTCCAGAAAGTGGTGTGGAAATAATATTCTCTGGCCAGTCTTAAATAGAAATCCAACTTTCAGGCAATGATATTTTGAGCATTGTACTGTAAGTTGGATTTTGTACAATGTGGACGGAGGATACCAGTGATGGGAATGTGTCATCAGCTGTAAGGTCAGAATTGATTTTTGCTAGTAATTCTTTTCAAAACATGCACAGATGACTACTTCTCTCTGGGAAACATGCGATCTTTTCACAGTAAACATTGGTGTCTCTGGCGATAAATGAGACTCTGCTTGTTGGATGGTTAACGGGATGATCAGCTGTTTTGATTTGAATTGGTAGCGATTGATTTCATATAATTGGTACATGTTCTTAGTATTTTCTCAGCATGTGGTACAGATCACAGAACATGACTTCCATTTCCATCAGTAGTATGCTACAGTCCACATGGTCACGTGGTGGTCAGTTTCATCCCTTGTCCCCTGTTTTTACTCTCGGCACTTTGTACCTTGCATAGAGACCTTCACTTACAGGAATAGGACTTCAACAGACGCATAACACGATCAAATGTTTACAGGGTGATCACATACAGTGATTTGAATTAACAACAGATCAATTTGTGCTGGAAATACGGTGTAACAGGACTCCTCTGCTCCCTGTAAGCCGATCCATTTCTGGACGCCATTTTGCTTTCTCTGTTGCCATGTGACTCCAGACTCACACAGAGTACTTTACCGATTGTTTTCATGGCACACACCATTTCTTCTATGATGGTTTTGGAACATGAAATAACTACAAAATGTGGAGATTTCTTTCTGGTCGTGAGCTGTTGCCAACCAAAAACACTGAGGAATAAGGAAAATGTTCAGGAAGCCAAATTAAATAGTGATAAAAAAACTTGGACCGAAACTTGAATCAAAGTTACACCAAAGGGAGTTTCAAGAAAATGCCATGTTTTGTTCTGTTTGTTCCATTATTTTGTTGAAAAAATTCAGATATTATACCTACCTGTGTCTATATCAGATTCTGTCCACCAAAGGGTAAATAAGGCTTTGAAAACAGTTTGAAAAAAATTCACATAACTTGGATCCGGATTTTGCAAAACTCCCAATTCTTCGAAACAAAAAGCTTTTTCCCTCCATTCAATCTCACACATAGTTTACCCCTGATTTCTTGATCCCCCTTATATTTGAAACCTGGCCACCAGGCAACAGAGTTAAGTTTTAGCCCTGTGATAAGCATGTTGAAATGACACGTTCACCCAACATGGTGTTGAAAAAATGTTCCATCTTTTTAGCTGGGGCTTTATATGACAGACAGCAACTCACATAGCAATTATTTAGACTCATAATGGGAGATGTGATCCCCAGCAACACTTAGTTTTCTGTGGAATTCTCTTTTAATTGCAAGCCATTGCTAATCCTCTTTTTTTCTGCCTCAAAGACTTTCTGGTGCATCAAAAGCATGATATGAATACCTTGTAGAAGGGAAAAAAGTAACTTTGTTTTTGTCTGGTGTAACCATGGTTTCAGACCAGATATGAGAATGTGAGTTGTGTCACTCACTCTCCTTCATATTTGGTAGGTAGTTAATTTGGTTTGGTATTTGTGCTCTTAAAGTATTTGAAATTAAGAGAGAGAGAGAGAGAGAGAGAGAGAGAGAGAGAGAGAGAGAGAGAGAGAGAGAGAGGAGGTAATAGGGGCATACTAACAACGTACCCAGTGAAAGAACGTNTTTTTCATTTAATTTAAGGCATTAAAAACGTAAAGAGAAAACAAGCAGCAAATACCTACTTATGTTTCTAGAGAGAGAGAGAGAGAGAGAGAGAGAGAGAGGAGGTAATAGGGGCATACTAACAACGTACCCAGTGAAAGAACGTTTGTTTTATGGAGAGAAGTGTTACATAATGAGTGAAAAAAAGGCTGCAAAAGAGACTAGGGCTTGCATGAAAATACATTGACTCACAAATAATGGTTGAACAATGTGTCTCATTTGTGTCCAATATCTGAAGAAGGAGCCTTGTGTGTGCAAAATTATATGTTTGATGAAAAATTCAAAATATGAGAAATGACTTAAATCAAACCAGTTGATAAGGTCATGATCAAATGTCAAAATTTACACAAGTCAAAACTAATGCAATTTTTTTTCTGCTCGCTTGCTTTAGGTAAAATTAACACGTTAAGGCAAAGAAATCCCGGACTGCTGTTTCCCTTTCATTGTTAACTGCCGTAAGCATTTCCTTTCTGTTAGAACCTCAGTAGCTCGGCAGCAGGGTACATGTGGGTGCATGAAGAAAACCCGTTGGTCATAAAGAGAGAAAAAAAAAAATCATAATCGAGGCCTGGATTAAGAAGAAGTACTGTAGCTGCTAAGCATCTATGCAGCCCAGGTTCTGTGGCAGATGTCGTTTCAGTTGTTTTTGTGGACAAAGGCCCTGCGAAATATCCAAATTTGCTATCCACTATTCATCTACAAAGCTTTGTAATGTAGGAGAGTCTGGCTCAACATTATGGCCTGCAAATTGACAGCGACTTTTGTTCAGCATTGGGGTATTCTGTTAGTAAAGTCAGAAATTTTATTCCAAGTTTCCAAATAGTGTCTGTGCAACCAGCATTGCAACACTTGCTTTCCGAGAATACCTCAAACCATCTGTTGCATGCTGCCTACTTTAGTTAACTACTTCTGTGTAAACAGCTTCTCTAATAACTGTGGTTAAGTTATGAAACCTCTGTAAGCGGTAACCGTAGAAAACCTCTCTTGAAAACACGGCATCAGTCTATTCTCTGTACAGAGAAAAATGTGCTATATCTACATGTAGTAATAATTGCATAGCATGGAAGAAAAATGCTTTGCTAAATACCACCCAAGACAATAGAAATTAGTATAAATTGCCATTGATAAAGCGTGGCTAAATAATTGGTAACCAAGGTCAAGGTGACAGATATATCCACTTGCAGAGCTCAGCATAATACTTGACTCTGGAGGTCTCTATGCTTATAACAAAAACTTGCAGAGAGTCTTGCTCTCCCTCATGCTTGTTGTGATGGTGAAGAGCATGAAGTGCCCAGTCTTCATACTCTTGGATCTTCTGCTGCTCAGTGGTTAATGTTTCATCTGTCTGCTTCCCTATATGTGATATGACTATGGTGAGAGTGCTAACTTCAGTTTCACCTTTTGAGGTGCAAGTGAATTTATGTAGAAACTAGCTTGAAAAAGAACTTGACACAAAAGACAAAGACATACTAGACTGTAATGTTTCACTTTCTGCTTCTTTAATAAATGTAATATCATGGATCAAGTATTGAGGCATCCATAGAAAACATAATTTGTTTCCCTGATCTGATGTTTGTTTGAAATTACCAGACAATTTTCCTCATTGAATTTAACTCTTCCAGCCCTTAAATTGCGGGGGCTTTTTCTAATTCAATTATAGTAGAACCCCTATACCCATGTATGATATACCATTTGAAATCTATTGATCTGTGCATTCCAAAAATTGCATCTCCCATTCAACAACAACTAACAAAGACTAGTGATATCTTTGACAAACAATTGTTTGAAAGGAGAGAATGAAAGAGTTTGAGAAAGTCAGAATCAACATAAATATTACTGTAGGTATACCCCTAAACTATACCTTATTTTACAGCTCTCAATGAATAGCTTAATAACAAATGCATGAAATGCTCCGACCTTTTCTCTTATGATAGCCTGCTTAATATAGACACTGGTTAATACAATCAATGGACAATTTTGTGATTCAGGTGACAGCCTCTTAAACAAGGTTAACCTCTCCTTACAATCACTGGTTATCCTCACACTCTATATTTTCAGTTGTTACAATAATGTTCCAACTGTCCTCTGAAGGAAATATATGCCTATACCCTCTATAGGTTATTGTAATTTTATTAATCGGAAACTTCTGATTTAAGTTACAGACTATTTGTCTGGTTACATTGCCATGATTGAAACTGATAAGAGAACCTTAATTACAAGTGTGAGACATTTTAACTATTTGAATAAGCATAATGTTTTTTCAAGTTGAAGTCAAATTATATTGAGAATGCCTCTATTACTTTTAAAGTTTATGCTCTCTAAAGGTTTATGTCTACACAACACTTGTCATAACTTTTACTCTGTACTTTTGTTAGCATTCTCCTTTCATGGTTATAAACCACCATTATTAGACAACTTACATGTAATGTACTGGGGTGGCCTATCACTTTATCAATTTTAGAATCCCAGTGACCTTTTTGGTGAATATGTGTTCATTACAGTTATTTCTCTCAATTTAGACCTCTAAAAACTTGTATTTTAATTAATGAGGAGGGAAATTTAATAGTATAGGATACTGTGAGTGTACCTTATCGAGATAAAATTAAGTTAACAATCTGATTTTTGCATCCAGTAGTAACCTATTGACCACAAATATGCGTACTTGACGACTACAAAGTGGTAGTCTGATTACATGACCAGCTGACACAAAATGTGGTTTAATTTACAATTAAATCCTTTCAGAAGCTCATTTGATTTTGTAGAGCTGTTAGCAAAAATAGGTTGGTCTGTGTCTCATGCATTTGACATTTGTCTTGGTTTCTACAGGCAAAATCTACATCTATGATCTGCGTAGTGGTTCTAGTCCTGTTAATACAAGATTGGCACACAAGACATCTGTTCAATCACTTTCATTCCAGTCATCAACTAAGGTAATGAGAAAACTTGTCTTGTCTTTTTTCAGATTCTCCCAGGATGGGTTCCTTGGAACACATGTAACCGACTAGCTATAATCTGTCAGATTGCCTTTAATTCCTCACTACCCATTTATCATAGTAAACTATTTTGCCCAATAACACAGTACAAGAACCCTGGCCTGGCTCAAGTATGACTTTACTAGCCAAGGGTTCAGTGTTGGAAGTTCATGCATTTGATGCTGGTGGTTGAAGTTTGATAGTTGGTTGGATCTATAGATTGAGCTCTTCTTTCTTTTATGTCCACTTTATAAGCAGCTCACCTGGTGACAGACCATTTGCAAAGAAGTGGACCTGTAATATTATTGAGAAGGACAAAGAATGGGTCTTCATTCTTCTTCAGCAATCCCTTTAAAGTGTGATTTGCCATTTCAGCCTAATACTTGCTGCTCATCTTAGTATATAGATTTAGTCCAGCCTGAAAGCATAGCTCCTGGGCTGGGTTGTTCAGAGCCCGATTAAGCTAACCCAGGAAAAGGTAGAATTTT